GTAGCTGTGATTTTTCACAAACCGTTGTGACTTCCGTAAAAAGTTGACGTCAGAACTACACAGTCACCGCCTTCAGTCACCACCCCGAGCACCGCCCACCATCCCACTCTCCTTTAGCCAAACCCCCAGACAACATCAAGTCCATGCCATTGCTGAGCAACAACAACAACACGGAAACATGTTGAAAAGGCTAACTTTAACCACAAAACCAGATCGGCCGACCTGTAAGGTTATACACTCTTTGTTTTGCTTCTTCCAGCTAGCACTGTGACGTCGGCTGAGTTTTTGGTACTTATACCGCAAATATATATTCTTAAGGACAACAAAACCTAAAATAAAACTCCAGAAAGGTGTAAAATATGTGACCTTTAACTCATAAAAAAAAGAAATGTGTAAAGACATAAAAATTAACCCTGATGTAACAGCAGAAAGTAGATCATTTTGATGCAGTTTTATAAATACATCAAGTACATTTTATATATATGTCCCTGAAATGTTTTCATTCAATGAATGAGGTACATTGATCTTCAAATTATAATTTTAAAAATATTATAGGCACAAATCCCATGTTTCTATAGGGAGAACTATTAAACATATTTGGTCAACTACACAAGTATCTAACATAAATAATTTTGTTGAAAAAAGTACCCAGTTTACAGAAAGTGTCCCGTGTTATTTGATTATTTAGCTATATTACTGCAGAGCTCTACAGAACAATCTAAAACTACTTGAAACTTTATAACCGTCAGCATTATTAATGAATAATAAACACCAACCTGTTTGTTCTTCAGTATCTTCAGTGTGTTTGATTCTGCAGGGCTCTGGATCTCTCATCTTCTCTCTGTCCTCTTTAATAAACTCAGTCTTTGCAGATTTCTTCCTGATGATTTGATGCTCGTCTTCACTTGTGAACTGATGGAGATATTCCAGCATTTATTGATGAATTGGTGAATGTGTGGGAGGAGTTTCACTGAACATGAATTTCTGTGTGGAAGAAGCAGATTTGCCAAAATAAACAATAAATCAGTTTACTTATTTTTAAATAATTTACAATTTTAAGCATTAATATAAGTAAAGCAGATGTCCTCCACATTCTATCTTTGAAGCCTTAAAAATACAAAGTGTTGTGGTCTCTTTGTAAATCATGACACCTATCTTCATTGACAACTACAAGTAAATAACTACAGTAGAGCACAGAATAACCAAATATTATTTGATTTTCTAATAAATACATTCAGAGCAATAAAATAGTTACATTATTAACATGTTATAGTTTTATATGTGCAGAAACTGACAGTGATGATAAAATCTTAAAAAATACAATGTTAATGTTTGCAGTGTCTATTTTATCTCTTCATAAGTATGTATAGATTTGAAATGTCCCATGTGGCTCAATATGAAGCTTTTATCAGTATCTATACTTGATTTTAACCATGTAAAGCACAGTAAAGTTAGTTTTAGGTTCGATGTTGGTTGGATATTCGCTTTCCACTGTGTCCTTGTTTTATAGAGTTGACAGTCTTACAAATATATCAATAACGCAATTAGTTTTAACAATGTGCAGCTATTTATATCGACATGCAACTTTAAATCAAAACTACCAAGGCGTATTATAGCTAGGGTGGCCATTCGTGCCATTTTTACGGGACACGTCCTGGCCAGGATTTCTATATTTTGCTTTGTTTTCCTGTTTTTATACTTGCTGAAGGTAATGATCGAAAAGTAGTTTGACCAATGACGTGCAGGCATTGTACATAATCAACACATTCATTCATATTAGAAGTGTTTGTTTGTTCGTTCGTTCATTCGTCTTGAAGCAGCGCTGCAACTACCGATGCAAATATGTTAATAATAATAATAATAATAATAAATTGCAACTTGTAGCCGATGCACACTTTTTGTGCGCAAACTAGACTTAATAGAGTACAGCATGGGCCGAGAAGATCGACTATAGCCAATCTATGTTTCAGAACGAAAGCACAGGGAAGAGTTTGCATACTGGAGTCTTATTAAACAAGTGTTGGATGGTCTCTTTTTTTTCTGGCATTCATTTGTGTTGCTTATGCATCATATTTTTTATGATGGTTAAAACACTTATATCATCATACTGTAGACTGCAGGTCAAAGTTGCGTTCATTACTATAGCAACAGTAGACTCATGACGCATTGTGTTTTACAAAAACAATATTGTAAAACAACTTTTATTTTGAGATCATGAGAAAATTAAGTCGTGATAATGAGAAAACAACTTTTGTTATGTCATGATCACAAGAAAATATTAAGTCGTGATAACGAGAAAACAACTTTTGTTATGTCGATATAACGAGATAATTAAGTCGTGATCATGAGAAAACAATATTTTCTTGTGATCTGGACATTACGAAAGTTGTTTTCTTGTTATCACGACTTAATATTTTCTTGTGATCGACACAACAAAACTTGTTTTCTCGTTATCACTTTATATTTTCTCGTGATCTCGACATAACGAAAGTTGTTTTCTAGTGATGACGACTTAATATTTTCTTGTGATTTCAACATAACGAAAGTTGTTTTCTCGTGATCATGACTTAATATTTATTAGAAAACAACTTTCGTTATGTCTAGATCACGAGAAAATATTAAGTCGTGATAACGAGAAAACAACTTTCGTTATGTCGAGATCACAAGATAATTAAGTCGTTATCACGACAGAACAAGAAAGAAAAAAATTTATAATCCATGGCCTCTTAGGACTAGTTTTCGATCGGTAAGATATCGGTCTAGAAATATAGAAAATCATATAATAAATAAATAAAACAGGGAAGCTGTTCGTTTTTCTCCGGTGCACAGGCGTACACATATATTACATTTAGATTAAAAGTAAAATAGATTAAAATTATAATTCATTTAGATCAGATTTAACGCATTTGCTTAAAGAGGTTTTGTGTTTGATTAGAAATAAAAGCAAAAGCTGCAGATGTTTTGTGGTGTATCTTCCATCAGTGTCTTTGTAAATCTACACGATCACTAAAACTGATGGAGATTAAGCTCATTCTTTTGTCTCTATACATAAAGAGACATTTGTGTAGATGGACGAACACAATCGCCTGAGTTTGTAAATGTGGCCAATTACATTTGCATTAAGCACCCAGTTTGTGTTTGTCTATCATTTAAATTAATAGCTTACATTTACTAAATGAGCCTTTTTAATGAAAGTAAAGTCCGTCCTTAATACAATTCTCAATTAAATTAAACTGTTAAATTAGAAAAAAAAAGATTGTTGTTCAATTTAGTTTAATACATGTATTAATATGTATATGTGGCAGAGATTGTCAAGTAGAGAGAGATTACAGAACAAAGAACAGTATAATGTGTAACTATTGATCAGCTACGCCTCCCAGAATCCACCGGGAAATAACAGTCTTATCAAAGCAACACAGGTTCACTGCCAAAGGCAGGGTCAGCGTGAAAGACAACAGGCACTTTATTGAAATACAACAGTTAAAAATACATTACTTTTTTTTGTATTGTGTAACAAAGTTAATTCCACACAAGGTCTCAATCAGTTCAATTGAGTTCAATTTCAGTTCAAGTTCAATTCCAAATGATGCATACAGATACACAAAAACAATCAAAAATAAAGTTTTCCTCACCCGAATTCCTCGACAACTTATAAATAAAGCTAATAAATACTATATTAAGGCAATTATTATGCAGCATTTTATGTATGTACTTCGAGCCTGTCAATCGACATTAGCACACTACCCACAAGATAACGCAAGGACATTATATCTCTGGCAAAATTCTGTCCGCATGTGTTTAGCGATCAGAATATAAAGCTCATAAAATGTTTCATTTTCAGTCTCACGACAGACACAGAAGTGATTTCTGCAGTTTTTAAGACTCTTTATTTGATCAGACGGACAGAAACTTTTCTACACAAAAAGCTTTTTTTATTTATTTATTCCTATATGATTACTGCTGTTTATATACTACTTTAATTATTAATATTTTGAGTTAGGGTTTATTTATATATATTTTTTATTTTAATTAGAATAGTTTTGTAAGTGTTTTTGTAATTTTTTTTATTTGTAAAAAATGGTCCACTGAAGGCGAGTTGAAGTGAGAACCCAAGTGCAGTTTATTTACATAGAGACAAAACATAATCCAAAATACTTGACTTGACAGGAACAGACTTGACTTGGCATGAACAGACTCACCAACAGCAGAGTTACAACATCAAAGCTAGACAAAGAACAATGGGAACATGAGGGCTATTTATATCAAAGTCAAGAGCAGGCAAAAGCACGCACATCGATCTCAACTGGGTGCTCGACTAAGAAAAAAGTGTACACATTTTTTAATGTAAAGTCGGCAACACCAAAGCTCCAAAAGTATCAAAAAATGTATTATTTAAAAAAACTATTTATATCAAACATTGAGGGTCACATGACAAGAATCAACCAATGAGCAAACAGAACTGAGAACCACATGACAGGACAATAACCAATGAGGAACAAGACACATGACTAGGATAACCAATCAGAACATGACACATGAACCAAAATAAAAGACATGAAAACATGAACATGGAACAAAACCCAAACCCCACATTACATTTCCCCCCTTCTAAGGGCGGCTCCAGACGCCCAAACAAAATCCCAAAAGTCCAGGAGGGTGGTGGAGTAGAAGCAGAACTGGGGGAGGGACGGAGGGCCAGGCCCATGTAGGGGAACAGGACACGGATCATGGCAGTGGACCAAGACTGTGGAGCAGTGGCAGACAGTGAAGCACTTGAGGACCTGGGCCGTGGATCAGATCCATAGGAGCATGGAGCCATGGCAGAGCCGGCAGAGAAGGGAGCCATGGCGGAGCAGGCAGAGCAGGGAGTCATGGAGGAGCAGGCCGATCGGACAGCCATGGCGGAGCAGGCCGAGCGAGCAATGGTGGAGTTGGCAGAGCAGGGAGCCATGGCAGAGTAGGACGGCCGAGTGGTGCCAGCAGAGCAGGAAGCCATGGCGGAGCAGGCAGAGCAGGATTCCCGAGTGGTGCCAGCAGAACAGGAAGCCATGGCGGAGCAGAGACATAGACAGACCACTTGACCGTGATAGAACAGGCAGAGAGTTCTTAAGCAGGTTCCATAGCCGCAACAGGACAGACAACGAGTTCATGAGTGGTCTCCATGGCCGTGGCCGGACAGACAGTGAGCTCATGAGTGGCCTCCATGGCTGTAACAGGACAGGCAGAGAGTTCATGAATGGCTTCCTTGGCCGTGACAGGACAGGCAGAGAGTTCCGAAGCGGACGCCGCCACCTCTAAAAGGCACTGGAGCAGATTCATGGACAGGAGAGGCCTCTGGGGCAGACTCAAGGACAGGAGAGGCCTCTGGGACAGACTCATGGACAGGAGAGGCCTTTGAAGCAGACTTAAGGACAGGAGAGGACTCTGAAGCAGACTCAAGGACAGGAGAGGCCTCTGGGGCAGACTCAAGGACAGGAGAGGCCTCTGGGCCAGACTCATAGACAGGAGAGGCCTTTGAAGCAGACTTAAGGACAGGAGAGGCCTCTGAAGCAGACTCAAGGACAGGAGAGGCCTCTGGGGCAGATTCATGGACAGGAGAGGCCTCTGGGGCAGACTCATGGACAGTAGAGGCCTCTGGGGCAGACTCATGGACAGTAGAGGCCTCAGGAGCAGATTCATGGACAGGAGAGGCCTCAGAAGTGCAGTGTGCGGCCCAAACACTCAGGATGGCTACCGCCATCACGGGCAGTGCAGTAGACAGTGGCATGCTCGCCGGGCTTGAGTGTGTTGAGGCTGTGAGGTTTGAAAGTGTAGAGACCA